ACCTATTTCAGATAGGTCAATAGAGCTATTATAGGTCCATTCGGCACACCTCGGCAGATCTCCATTAGATGAAAGGTACCATTCGGAACACCTCGCCCCGATTCCAGTTCCTTCCAACGGCAGCTGTGAAAAACTAGCTTTGCACACAAACTGTTTCGTATTTTTCTACCGCAAGTGTTATTAACACCAATATAAATTATTATCAATAAGTTAAGTTGATATATTTAAATATTAATTATTATATTAACGCATATATTTTAAAAGATTGATACTAGGAAGCACACATTACTATATACTAAAATGGCTGGAATAATCCCGAGTTATAAACTTTTCCGAACAAAACTCGAGTGTTCCGAAGAGCCATTGGGAACTTAAAAAATGTCTGTGAAGTTGCTGGGTTTGATTATTCAAATGACCATTGGTTTTGTTGGCCAAAAAGAAAAAGGGTCAGAAATAGTTCTTATTGGTGAGAATCACTGTCATTTGTTAATCTGTTGCACGTCATTTTCAACCAGAATGAGACAAATNATGAGGAGGTCTTGGATTCTTTGACATGTGTCTACCTGAGGTATGTCGTTTATTCCAAGTTTCTGGTTAATAATTGTACAGCAATTTTGAGGTAAAGATTCAACATTTATCATTCACATCACTTGTTGTAAGCAAATTTTATTGATTTCTGCTGATTATCCTGTGTTATAAATTCCTGGTTTAAAGTTTGTGCTCATGTATGTTGTGAGTTAACAGGTAAAGGATATATGTACAGCTGTTCAGTGTTCCTCCAAACCAATCAAATTAGTTAACCTCCCCTCACCCACCCCAAAGTAGTTGGTTTAGATTGTGTCCAATTTTTCAAAGACTCTATATGTTAATTTAGACCTGGTGGTAAAGAATCTTGCAAACTATCAGATATAATCAAATCTTAAATACATGAAGAATATTTGTAATGAAATACAATTTATTATACTCAGAACATTAACTGTTTATTTTTACATTTGATCTAACTTGACCTCTCTAGGTTAATTTTAAGTTTAAGAAAAAATTCACAATGAAATATATTTTACAGGCAATTTTGTATTAAGAATATTTATACTATGTATGTGTACATATCACTATAGCAAGGCTATTTCATTAGATTAAATTTATCTTATCTTTATTTATGAAAAGTTTCTGGCACTAGATCATCAGCAGATTTCAAGAGAAATATTGAGTTTACTAATACATGAGCAAGATACTTTACTCCGCTTGTTCCAGTCTACTCAGCTGTAAATCAGTATGCAGTTGCTAGAAATGTAGAATGCTAGCTGTGAGTGCCGAAATGGCAGCACCGGCTGTATGCTCCCTAGGGAGTTGAGAAAGATATTGACTGGTTGCAAATATATACAATGGAAGATATTATATATAATTAATCAGCATCACATACATGCCAGAATTCTTAGAGACCAATCAGTGAGTTTTACAATCATTTAAGGGAATTGAGGTGAAATTAAGGGAGGATTTATTTGCGGCGTTTTTCACGGCAAAAAGACTATCTTACTCAGCTAAATTAATGAAATAAAGCACAAAATCTTTAAGTAAGGAACTTTGTTTTGACTTTGGCAATTTTTTTTGGTATATATTGAGTACGATATTATATACATTTAATAGCACAAAGTTAACAAAACAAAATACCACATAGTTAAGATATACTAAAGCAGAAAAATAAGGATAATAGTTGTCTATGTTCATTTACATTTAAACTTCTTAATAATATAACAGAATGTTGAAACATGCAGAAATAATCAGCTGTGAAAGTGAAGAAAACTGTGTTCAGTATTTGAACTTTTAAATTACATATCTCGGCATTCAGAACAAAGACTTTTTCCATCTTCTTCATGACATGCCCCTTATATATTTACCCGTCGTTCTCTTTTCTTTGATGCCATCACAGTATATATGTATTTTGCTGCACACTTAATAAGGATGTCCCTGTAACCCACATCTAATTATTGGTAAGTAGGGGAAATATTATTGGAAGCCAATATCAACACATCCAATTAATATAGCACATTAAAACAAGGGCCCCATGGGCTTAACAGGTCACCTGAGTTGTAATACAGTTGTTATTTGTTGTGATATGACAAAAACAAATATCACATATGTATTGCAGGGAATTTTGTCCCTTCCCAATACTGAAAAATCTCATTTCCATACACTTTAGCAAAATTTACCCCCTCGGCTCCCTAGGGTAAATGGGTGACAATTGAAAAAAACCACTTATATATCAGATATACACCTCATAAACCTTCTATAAATCAGGTATACACCTTCTATACATAAAGTAAACACCTTCAGGTCACTTCCATATATCAGCTACCAGGTATACTCCTCCCATACATCAGGTATATACACCCCCAGATTATCAGGTATATATACCTCCCATACATCAGGTACATGTATACACACCTCTGATATATCAGGTATATACCTAAACATCAGGTATACATCTCCTGTATATCAGGTATATCTCCCATATACATCCGGTATATACATCAGGTAAACACCTCCCATACATCAGGTATACACCACCTATACCTCAGGTATACACCTCCCATACATCAGGTAAACACCTTCCATACATCAGGTATACACCTCCCATACATCAGGTATACACCACCTATACATCAGGTATACAACTCCCATACATCAGGTATACACCTCCCATACATCAGGGCATTTTAGGTCCCTATTCTCTGTAGGGAAGTTATTATACTTCATCTATATAAGAGTTGTCTTGTTGGTTGTTAGGCTCTTACCATACAAGAAATATGAGCCTGGGGATCTCAACAATTTCCATGCTATGACCCAGGGAGGAAGTCCTCAGGGATTGGTTGGGCTCCATAAAGGACTTGATAGCATGAGTGTTATTTTCTCTTCATGCCCAGCAACATATGAAAGGGATCTGAACTGATTTCATGTTAAGACCTGGGGAAGATGGAGCATGGATGTGTTCAGGGTATGGTGGGAATCTTGATAATTTAAAGTACATTAAGCTTTACACCCAAAATTCCTCTATGACTGCTTTGTCCCAGTTTTTCAGACCTGAGATATGCTACAATCTGTACAGTCACAGTCACCCTTCTAGGTTGTAGAAACTTGACTGATACAAAATATGGTCACCTTATTGCCTCAGCCATTTTGTAACAATTTATATGGTGACAGGTCCTTCTAGAAAGTAGTTTTAATTTAAAGTTAAAATTTGCCAATTTCCCCATATTGGCCCAGCCCCTCAACCCTAAGGTGGCCACATCCTTTCATAATATAAAAGGCCAACAATATATTGTTCTGTGCCTACCCAAGACTTTTTTGCCAATTTTCAAAGAAAGAACTGTTCAAGTCAAGATCACTCTCCTTTATATGTATAGGCTAAATAAAAATAACTGAAAAATTGAATTTATTACCTATCTATAATATACCTATACATATTTTTTTCAAACATGTAACAGGAAACAAACATCTTTTGTTGTATAAAGAGGATACTCATCCCCAATAAGTGATGACACTTTATGAGGTAAAATCAAATCCTGTAAGTTTATATGCAGTATATTATCAACAAGTTTCAGCAATTAGATGATATATAACTGAAAATAGTCATGAGAGATACTTCATATACATAGCTTATTAAAGAAATACAGAATGTAGTGTACAGATAATGTAAAGATATGATTATGTATACACAGTATATAAAGGTACTATACAGAATATATGAAGTACAGATATATTTCATTCGTTATAAACTCTGTACACAATTCTCAATATCACTCTGTTTAACACTCTCTAAATCACTGTTTACTACTCTCTGAATACTACTGTATTCTATGTATACCACTCCTAAAATAGCCTGTATACCACTCAATATACACTGTATATCACTCCTCATATACTCTGTATACAACTCCTCATATATTCTATATACCACTCTTTTATTTTATGTATACCACTCATATACTCTGTATATAACTCACTATTTACTCTGTATACCACTCTCTATACTATGTATACCACTCTTTACAAACCTCTGTATATCACTCTCTATATATACCCTGTATACCACTCCTTGTACCCTGTAAACCTGGACTCTCAATACACTCTGTACACCACTTCGTAGATACTGTGCATACTAATCCTTATATACTCTGTATACCACTTTCTTTATATACATATTGTGTACCACTCTCTTTACTCTGTATTCCACTCTTTATATTTTCTGTATAGATTATATATCTTAACTTACATAATTATAAACAGTAAGGTATTTTGTTTTATATATCTGAAAATAACATGTTAATTTTCACTAAATATCTAATTATATATGAAAAACCGTGATTTTCACGGTTGACTGCGGCGTACAAGTTTTACCCCCTTGAAATAAACATTATCGTCAATTTCTAAATTATTAGATGATACATTTACATTTTATTAACAGTCACATTTAGAAAATAATGTTTGAAATTATTGTATATTTTTATAAAAAAATATAAACGATCGCGTTAATGAGATATTAAAATATCTCTATATGCCTGGTACGGGGTTTTGAGACGGGAGCGGGAGCGGGATACAAGATTTACCTACCACCATTTTTTTCCCCTATGATCTCTGACCCGTGCCGCCATCTTGGATGGGTTGATACGTCTATTTGTTTTTGTTTACATGCATGTCGTTGAAATTTAGCTATTTCACCTAAAAATAGATTATTTTTTTAAAACAAAAACAACTGTTGTTTTTGCAAGCTTTCGGTGCCATGTAGTGAAAGTAAGGTCAGTTTTTCATTTGCTAATGGAGGAAATTAAAATATTTCACTTTAAAACATATGCAAATTTTAACACTGTTGAAATGCAAGGGAGACAATCCAATCTACAATCAATGTACTGCAAATAAATTCAGAACAATAAGGGAGGTAAATCTAACTATATTATACACAAGAAGTAAGTATAGTCTGTTTCAAACAGTGTAATTAAAATTGACTTACCACTCTATGTATTTCACTTCCTGGGTCTGTAATAATAAAACACACACTATTTTAACATAATTCCAACACTAAAATGTAATACTAAAGCAACCATGAACAAATATTCTTACTACCGGTACGTTCATATTAACTGAAATTTAACTAAAAAAATACACATAAAATACATGCTAGTGATTTGTTTACCTTCAAATGTTAAACATCCATCTTTGATGTCAGCCTGTATTTCCGCTGGTGTTAACAGATAGGTTTCCTCATCTGCTTTGTCAGTTTGCGACCAATAATTTACCTGTAAAGCACAAATGTAGTATTAACATCTGTTCTTATCAAATTCGAAATTCAATACACATTCCAAACATCTAGTTTTAATAATGTTCAAACAAATCATACTAAACTGTACATATATTTGCATACTACGAGGAAAATTTTCTCGGTACTATATAATGAATCTATATATATTTTGTACTAATTTTTATAAACTCATCTTCCAAAACAAACTGTATGTAATTTAATCTGTAATCATAGGTGAAGGTAAAATAATGGCTGCATGGTGAATGAGGGGGTTAAGATATTTGTTAGTTGTTTTTAGCTCACGTGGCCAGAGGGGCTGAGCTTATGACATGGTGCAGCGTCCGTCATCCGCCATGAACATTCTACTTTAAACAACATGTTTTGTATAACCAAAACACCTACACTGATGATATTTATCCACAAGCATACTGGGATTAAGAGTAAACAAGATTGTTTAAATTGATGACCTTCACCCATTATCAAGGTCACACTAGTCAAATATGTTACAAATTTAAAACAAATTCTTCTTAATAACCAATAGGATTAGGGCGATGATATTTGGCAATTAACATACTGGGATGGTGTGGTACCAAGTTTTATCAAATGAATGACCTTCGCCCATATTCAAGGTCACAGGGGTCAATTGTGTTTAAAACATTTTAACTCTTATTCTGAATAAATAAAATGACCCGGATGATATTTGGTCAAATATGTTTAAATATCTAAATAACTTTTTCCAAATAACCAACAGGCCTTAGCTAGTAACATGGTGGGATGATGGGCTACAAAATTTGTTAAAATGAATGTCGTTGACTCATATTCACGGATGGAGTTAATGTCCTTGTTCGATTTTCAACGTCACAGGGGTCATATGTGTGAATGTTTGAATAGGTTATTTGGAATGAAACAGTGGGATTTTGTGTGTAGTTGTATTTAACATTACAAGTGACACATTATTACCCGGAAACCGATGAAGACCCTTTGGATACATGCAGTTTTTACAATGATGGATAACATGCTCTTTGGTTGTGATAACATTAATGCATAACTTTCATGGCTTCCATCTGCACTATGGTAATTAAAATTGTTAGAAATTAGAAATAAGGAAGGTGAAGTGAGTTGACAAGGTGACTGATGTTATAAACATTTAACCTTGAAAACACCGTTGTCATAACTCAGGACTTCTCCATGCCATGTTGCATCTTTTCCTTCCTCATCGGTCCATATGTGTTGAATATTTTTTCCAACAATGTCCAAATCAACTGTATTGGTTTCTTTTGCACTTTTATTCAAATTTTCAATTTTCAAAACATTGCTTCTCAGTTCCTCCACCCCATGTTGTTTTCCCTTGTGGCTAAATAAAAATAGGTTTCTGTTATTGGAGTCATAGTCATATAATGATCTGAACATAGTGATTTGGTTTTTTAAAACACAAATTTTGTCTTTTTTGGTGGTGTAATTTTGTAGTCCTAAATCAATTTTTTGTTTGTTGTCCCACAGTCCAAAAGCGTCTAAATTTTGCACAACCTCATCTTTTGCTTTTCTTTGTTTTTCCTTTTTCTTTTGTACGGTCTCTGTTCTGTTCCTAATAATTTGCAGCTGGGATTTCCTTAGCACCTCCTTTCTTTCTTTGACTGTCTTTATATAATGTTTTTTCCCCAGTCTTGCATTCGAAATAATGTGTGTCTGCTCCGGTTCTGGCTTTGCCTTTAGCCATTCTCGTGTTTTATTTCCTGTATAACAGATATTGCTTTCAAGGGTATTGATAGTAATATTGGGAGAACATTTCATCGACCTGTCCACCTTTGCCATAAGTCGCTCAACGGTGATGTTGTGTGGAGGGCAGGATTTGCTTTTCTCAACTAATATTGCTGATGGGCAGTTTAAAGAACCTCCAGGTAAAAAATCCTTAAATAAATGAGCGGCTTTCAACTTCAATACATGGCATAATTTTTGCAAGATCAGACGGCAAAATTCAGATACATTTTCTGATAGCAAATATGTGTGTACATCATCCACAGGAGTACAAGGACCTGGAAACAATCTGATGTTGTTAGTTAGTAAAAGGTTGGGGTTTTCCATTACGGCTGACAATACTTCTATAAGGCGCACATACACTGGTCCCATGTCTAACACCTCCTCCTGCTAGTCTCCAGTAGGGTTCAGTAATGGCCTTGGAGATGAGTCCAAGGCAACGGCAAATGTCTAAAACTTTTACATTTTTCAATCCCTCTAAAATTAAATTTTGGGTAAAGTTCACAGTTGATTTGGAGTTTTGTAAATAATCTATAAGGGGTTTTGCTAAAAAATATGTTCCAAATTTGAAGTTGGGAATGAATAAGTTATAATATAAAACCAAGTTTGGAATGAACAAATACAAATACCAATACAAATGAACATTAACAAATAGGCATCTTAATTAGAGATAGATGGTGCATCTTCATTTGATTGTTCATCCTGTGTGTCATCAGAAGTCACACTGGATATAGATATGGCATCTTCTGCAGTTGTTCCTGTTTTAGTTTGAGGAACAAAACTTACAGAATGTGTAGACAAAGGAGATTGTGTACTACTTCCTGAGGATAGGGTAGTTGACAAATCTTCATATTTAACCGAGGTATTGCTGCTATTAGGTGTTGATATATCTGTGGTAGTGGTGTTGACTGTTCCACCATGACTGGCATGAACTACACACACTTCACAACCACATAAAGTAGGGTCACTTAATGATTGTTGCAGATGCAACTCAATGTCAAACTCTGTTTCTACATATACAGTCACATTGTGAATGTAATTAAATAGAATTGCATCACTTGCGTCATAAAATACATAAGGAGAGTTTTGGTCTTGAAATCGTTCACATGTCATTTTTGGCAATCTCTGCAAAATAACCAATGATTTAAAAACTAAAAGTATGATTTGTTGATTAAGTTAGAGGCCCAATGAGCGTGCATTGCTCACCTGGTATTGATCACTCCCTTTTAACCTTAGCGGGAAGTATAATCTATGCCTGTTAGCTATAGTCATTCAAAACAACATGTAAAGAGATTTAAACATATTTCACACCTGTCACCTTGAAAGTGTAACAAATTTGTTACATTTACTATACTTTATAGCCCCTCATGTCAGCATACAACATGCCATATATCACCACCCTAGAATTTGTGTTTTGTTTACCAAAAGTTGTTATAAAATGTTAACCAAATTTCACCCGTTTGATGTTGAATATGGCAAAGGTCAGTAATTAGTTTGAACAAATTTGGTAGACCTGAACCATGCTACTGAACAAATATGATCATTGTAGGTGTCTTGGTTGTTCCGAGGAAGTTTTTTAAAGTAAACAGTTGATATAACACCCATAGACATAAGGACGAAGGAGGCCAAACCAAGGCATATCATGTAAAAATGTAATCAATTATAGCATTGATGTTTGAAAATTAAGAATGAACAATCATACTTACCAAGATGTACTTCGTTCATGTATTATAATGATTGGGTATGTTTAGGATGGCTAAAAGTCCAACTGAAATGAAATAAGATTGAATTAGAGCAAATCTTTCCAAAGAAATATAGGTAACCAAATAATGTGTTAAACCTTTATTATTAGCAAATGGGAATGCTTATAAAGCAATCCATTGAGCCATGTCAGAAGGACGAAGGAGGCCGAACCAAGTCATATAATGTACAATTGTAAAACTATCATAAATCGTAGCATTGATGTACTTACCAGATGTACTTCGTTCATGTATTATAATGATTGGGTATGTTTAGGACGGCTAAAAGTCCAACTGAAATGAAATAAGATTGAATTAGAGCAAATCTTTCCAAAGAAATATAGGTAACCAAATAATGTGTTAAACCTTTATTATTAGCAAGTGGGAATGCTTATAAAGCAATCCATTGAGCCATGTCAGAAGGACGAAGGAGGCCGAACCAAGTCATATAATGTACAATTGTAAAACTATCATAAATCGTAGCATTGATGTACTTACCAGATGTACTTCGTTCATGTATTATAATGATTGGGTATGTTTAGGACGGCTAAAAGTCCAACTGAAATGAAATAAGATTGAATTAGAGCAAATCTTTCCAAAGAAATATAGGTAACCAAATAATGTGTTAAACCTTTATTATTAGCAAGTGGGAATGCTTATAAAGCAATCCATTGAGCCATGTCAGAAGGACGAGTGCCAAATTGACTTATAAAGTAATCTATTGAGCCATGTCAGTTTTAAGAAACAGACTATTGATTAAGGGGAATAACTCTTCTAAATATCACGCTTCAAGTTACCCAAAATATCGTCGGTTTGTAACGGTTCGTTTTTTGTCAACGGAATTTTTACACATCATTCTCTATTACGTACTGTTTAATTTGGTAGGTAGACTTTTAGTGACAATTTGTATTTTCAATGTCAATTTGACATTTTATGTCGCATGGACGGGGTCCGTCTTGCATGGTTCCAATAAAATGTATCAAAACACAATTTAGCGGAATAAACTTACACTAAAACACTAACCAAAAGGAAGAAAATGTGTAGTAAATTTCATTCAATAGTTTGGAAATGATTGACATTTCCTGAAAATGGACATTTTGATACGGGAATATACCAACCTCACAACATATGAACGGCCCGCTAGTGAAACTAAACATCATGGCGGAAAACGAGAGAATCGGAAGTCATACAGTTATCCGGCGTATCAGGGGCTACTCACTCAACACTATAAGCTAACTATATACAATACAACAAAAACAAATGTGTACTGACGTGTAGCCTCTTAAGCAAAGAAAGAGGCCACAAGGAAAAAAACATATATATTCTGAGCAATATATTTTTAGTAGGCCAGACAACTCTTGAGCGATTCAAGACAGGTCAAGACAGGCCAAATGTAAATATCTAGTGAAACGTTCTTGAGCGATTCAAGACAGTATACATGTAGATATCTAGAGCAAACCCATGAGCGATTCAAGAGCTGCATATAAAATACTCATATACATAAGTAGTAAAGAAAGCTTTTAAGCGATTTAAAAGCAGAGAGCTAAATTTGCCTTGAGCGATTCAAGAGAGGCAAACTGACCACCAGACTTAAGCGATTTAAGAGCTGGCGAGACTAAACTCCTGAGCGATTCAAGAGCCTAGTAGTATCAAGAATAGACAGAAAATTAAAGCAAAAGCAGTAAAATAATCAACAGATAAGCAAATAATATTACAGAAAAGTATAGGGGGGAAAATTCCCCAGGAATTAAAACCCAAATGGCCTTAGTACGACATCTGGCGGTAAGTGATATAGCAACTTGAATACATTATGGACGAGTTCAGAATTAACTGAGCTCGCGAGTACCGCGTAAAGTGAACTGGCATTTGCTATTACTGTAATAATTTAGCCATCATAATGGAATCATATGATTTTGCTGAGTTAGGTTCGGACAAGTTTCCAATAACTTCAATATTCTTAAAAATACTGCAGTATGTTCTACGTGACAGTTTTGTAATCGCCTGGCGATCGAGCTCCATGTCCATGGCATGTGCATCGTTAATTAACTGTTAAACTTGCAGTATCATTGATTATGTATATATGGTCGACTATGATTGATTCTTGTGTATGTTTCTGTACGTATTTGTTAATTTTAATGGATGGTTTTATAAATAGGCATAATATATAGTCTTGGGGAGCTGCTACTTTCCTAATAAAAACATTGTCATGACACTGAAATAAATTGTTTTTGTTGTTTAATCATCTTTATTACCGGGTACGTAAATGTATGCAACAGGAAATTTTGATTAAGGATAACTACGTCACAACAACATTGTATACACGTTACATAAACGTTGCATATACGTTATATATACGTCATATCACAACGTCTTCACAACGTCGGAAAAGACGTCTAGAAAACTTTCACTGACAACCTTACCACAACCAAATCCCAACGTCAGAAACCGACCTGATGGCAACGTTGCTACAACGTCATGTGCCCACTGGGTATCTACACTGGAGTAGCATATTCCTTGTTTACACATTACGATTCATGTTTTTAATAGAATCTTTCACCCCCTTGGGGGTGAGACAGGGTAATCTCAACCCGAGGGGTAAGACTCCTAAGTTGTCAAACACGAGGCTTGCCGAGTGTTTGACAGCTTAAGAATCTTACCCCGAGGGTTGAGATCACACTGTCTCACTCCCAAGGGGGTGAATGATTATTTTTCTCTTACCCTGTTTATACTCTAATGTATTTTATATAGACGTTACATCAATGCAAGACAATGTTGATGTGATGCGGCTGAATTGTCGACGTGACGTCATTGTATTGTTGCAGTGACGTCATGGTATTGTTGCTATGACGTCATACAATTGTTGAGAACGTGCAAAGAACAAGTGTAGCTTGTCTCAACCCTAGGGTGAGAAAAGAAAATCTCACACCGGTAAAATGGTGGATATCCCTGTCCAGGGTAAGAGAAACGTATATCTCTCACTATCTACATTGGAGGATCATATTCCCAGTTTACACATTACGACTCCTGTGTTACGTATATCACTCACTATCTACACTGGAGTAGCATATTCCTTATTTACACATTACGACTCATGTGTTTAATAGAATCGTTCACCCCCTTGGGGGTGATACAGGGTAATCTCAACCCGAGGGGTAAGATTCCTAAGTTGTCAAACACGAGGCTTGCCGAGTGTTTGACAGCTTAAGAATCTTACCCCGAGGGTTGAGATCACACTGTCTCACTCCCAAGGGGGTGAATGATTATTTTTCTCTTACCCTTTTTTTTCTCTTTTCTCTTATGCTACTCCAGNCACACCGGTAAAATGGTGGATATCCCTGTCCAGGGTAAGAGAAACGTATATCTCTCACTATCTACATTGGAGGATCATATTCCCAGTTTACACATTACGACTCCTGTGTTACGTATATCACTCACTATCTACACTGGAGTAGCATATTCCTTATTTACACATTACGACTCATGTGTTTAATAGAATCGTTCACCCCCTTGGGGGTGATACAGGGTAATCTCAACCCGAGGGGTAAGATTCCTAAGTTGTCAAACACGAGGCTTGCCGAGTGTTTGACAGCTTAAGAATCTTACCCCGAGGGTTGAGATCACACTGTCTCACTCCCAAGGGGGTGAATGATTATTTTTCTCTTACCCTTTTTTTTCTCTTTTCTCTTATGCTACTCCAGTGTAGATAGTGAGTGATATAGGTAACACATGAGTCGTAATGTGTAAACAAGGAATATGCTACTCCAGTGTAGATAGTGAGTGATATACATAACACATGAGTCGTAATGTGTAAACAAGGATTATGTTACTCCAATGTAGATAGTGAGTGATATAGGTAACACATGAGTCGTAATGTGTAAACAAGGAATATGCTACTCCAGTGTAGATAGTGATTGATATACGTAACACATGAGTCGTAATGTGTAAACAAGGAATATGTTACTCCAGTGTAGATAGTGAGTGATATACGTTACGCATGAGTCGTAATGTGTAAACAAGGAATATGTTACTCCAATGTAGATAGTGAGTGATATACGTTACGTATGAGTCGTAATGTGTAAACAAGGAATATGCTACTCCAGTGTAGATAGTGAGTGATATACGTAACACATGAGTCGTAATGTGTAAACAAGGAATATGTTACTCCAATGTAGATAGTGAGTGATATACGTTACACATGAGTCGTAATGTGTAAACAAGGAATATGCTACTCCAATGTAGATAGTGAGTGATATACGTTACACATGAGTCGTAATGTGTAAACAAGGAATATGTTACTCCAATGTAGATAGTGAGTGATATACGTTACACATGAGTCGTAATGTGTAAACAAGGAATATGCTACTCCAATGTAGATAGTGAGTGATATACGTTACACATGAGTCGTAATGTGTAAACAAGGAATATGCTACTCCAATGTAGATAGTGAGTGATATACGTTACACATGAGTCGTAATGTGTAAACAAGGAATATGCTACTCCAATGTAGATAGTGAGTGATATACGTTACACATGAGTCGTAATGTGTAAACAAGGAATATGCTACTCCAATGTAGATAGTGAGTGATATACGTTACACATGAGTCGTAATGTGTAAACAAGGAATATGCTACTCCAATGTAGATAGTGAGTGATATACGTTACACATGAGTCGTAATGTGTAAACAAGGAATATGCTACTCCAATGTAGATAGTGAGTGATATACGTTACACATGAGTCGTAATGTGTAAACAAGGAATATGCTACTCCAATGTAGATAGTGAGTGATATACGTTACACATGAGTCGTAATGTGTAAACAAGGAATATGCTACTCCAATGTAGATAGTGAGTGATATACGTTACACATGAGTCGTAATGTGTAAACAAGGAATATGCTACTCCAATGTAGATAGTGAGTGATATACGTTACACATGAGTCGTAATGTGTAAACAAGGAATATGCTACTCCAATGTAGATAGTGAGTGATATACGTTACACATGAGTCGTAATGTGTAAACAAGGAATATGCTACTCCAATGTAGATAGTGAGTGATATACGTTACACATGAGTCGTAATGTGTAAACAAGGAATATGCTACTCCAATGTAGATAGTGAGTGATATACGTTACACATGAGTCGTAATGTGTAAACAAGGAATATGCTACTCCAATGTAGATAGTGAGTGATATACGTTACACATGAGTCGTAATGTGTAAACAAGGAATATGCTACTCCAATGTAGATAGTGAGTGATATACGTTACACATGAGTCGTAATGTGTAAACAAGGAATATGCTACTCCAATGTAGATAGTGAGTGATATACGTTACACATGAGTCGTAATGTGTAAACAAGGAATATGCTACTCCAATGTAGATAGTGAGTGATATACGTTACACATGAGTCGTAATGTGTAAACAAGGAATATGCTACTCCAATGTAGATAGTGAGTGATATACGTTACACATGAGTCGTAATGTGTAAACAAGGAATATGCTACTCCAATGTAGATAGTGAGTGATATACGTTACACATGAGTCGTAATGTGTAAACAAGGAATATGCTACTCCAATGTAGATAGTGAGTGATATACGTTACACATGAGTCGTAATGTGTAAACAAGGAATATGCTACTCCAATGTAGATAGTGAGTGATATACGTTACACATGAGTCGTAATGTGTAAACAAGGAATATGCTACTCCAATGTAGATAGTGAGTGATATACGTTACACATGAGTCGTAATGTGTAAACAAGGAATATGCTACTCCAATGTAGATAGTGAGTGATATACGTTACACATGAGTCGTAATGTGTAAACAAGGAATATGCTACTCCAATGTAGATAGTGAGTGATATACGTTACACATGAGTCGTAATGTGTAAACAAGGAATATGTTACTCCAATGTAGATAGTGAGTGATATACGTTACACATGAGTCGTAATGTGTAAACAAGGAATATGTTACTCCAATGTAGATAGTGAGTGATATACGTTACACATGAGTCGTAATGTGTAAACAAGGATTATGCTCCTCCAATGTAGATAGTGAGTGATATACGTTACACATGAGTCGTAATGTGTAAACAAGGAATATGTTACTCCAATGTAGATAGTGTGTGATATACGTAACACAGGAGTCGTAATGTGTAAACAAGGAATATGCTACTCCAATG